AACTGACATGTTTGCACACCCTGCCAAAGAAGAGAAGGAGAACACTGGGAGGAGGAAGAAGAGAAAATGGAACCACTGGTTGTTTATAAGACTCCGTGCAATGGGAGGGAAGACAAACATGGAATACAAAATGCACAGGAAACTTGAGGCGGACCATCTTATTACATACAGCCTGCTGGGGACTGCATGCACATTGTCACCTTATGTAGCATGTGAGGCAGTTTCTGTAAGCAAGCCTAACAGATGGGAGGCTGGGGGCTGTGAAAGTTTTTCTGACAGGCCAAAATCTCAGTAGATATAGAGAAATGGAATTAGTAAGGCAGAGAGCACATGAAATACAACAACACTGGCGAAAGAACCACTCTTTTCTAAGTTCATCAGATGCCGTAGCTTTATGGTAATTAGTGCAAGCTCTGTTTAGAATGGATGCTTTATATACGACCTAATAACCCACATGAAAAATGTGACTAAGTTTTCCTGGTTTAAGTCTCATTTTTAAATCAGCTTATCCTGTTAGAAAAACAACTTTGATATATGCAACTGTTTTAAAAAAATGAACTTTTAATCCATGAAACGCTTCTCGTGTTACTCAGGCAAGAAAAGCCAATGTGTTCTTAAGCTTTATATAAAGCAACCTATGCAGAAGCAGCAGGTTGATCAGGGAGTATTTTCCTAATAACAGCTGTTGGCATTCAGGAAACATTTGCCAGGAAGTGCAGCCGGAAAGAAAATCTAACACGTTTAATTAATTGCAGACATCAATGAAGTATTTGCAATCTTAGTAGCAAAACACACATTTCATTCTTATATGTGGGAGGGCATGTAACATTTTCAATCTGGACACGTCTATGATGTTCTGCATGGTTTCTTATGAATCATTTTGCAAAAATAGCAGGAAGGGATTGCAACATTTATATTGAAGAAAAAAAAAGTGCTTTTAAGCAGACATAATTATTTCATTGGTAATAGGAAGAGTTTACTATAAGTTTAAACATTCAGCTTAAAGAGGATACTGTTTGAGAAGTCTCACTACTAAGGGAAGAAGGATTCTGGGTTCTTAAATGCTGTAGAGGTTTATTACAACCAAGAAACCAGTGAGTAACAGAGAAACACGGCTACACCCTTGAAATTAAATTCTTCCACACAACCATGAAGGAAACTAAAGAAATATGCTTATTTTTGACAAACCAAGAGTATAGATAAAAATTAAAATATTTCTCAATCTACAAAAGACAATAAAGCAAGTGGAAAACACCTCAGGCATCCAGTCTATGTATAGGGGCAGGTGGCCTCACCTTTAAATTCTCTCCCCAGCACACAATTCCCTACTAATCCAGGGTCTGGGAAGAGGAATTGCTAAATGAGTTCATCACATAGCGAACAGCTGATTGTTGATGCTACATCTTCATATTCAGGCAAGAGAAAATTAACAGTTCAGTAAACCATAAAAGAAAAACTGGAGGAGAGCAAACACAATGCTTAGGTAAAAAAACAATTCCAAAATATACTTTTTCCATACATGAATGACATTCAACTAGACATAATTCAAGCATGAACTCAGGGAAATGTGCAGGAATGGAAAGTTCCATGCCGGCATAGCCCGGAGCAGCCCTGAAGTCTAGGAGTCAAAGAAGCCTAGAAAAGGTCACCAAGCTGATCCCTGCACCGTAGCAAGCTCGTTTTAACTCCCTGCAGCTATCCCTAGAGATGAGGGCTGAGACTGCTTCTGAATGATCCCAAAAGCAAAACCTACATGTCACTTTCTTTCATAGTGAACAGTTTCTTTCTCCTTAGATTTTTTAAGTCACTCCACTGCTTTGTGCTTTATCTTTAAGCAAGTGCTGAGGATAACTGTGCCCACCCTCGTCAAACATCCCTTAGGTAGAACAATAAGCTGAATGCTTATTACTGGAGGCCTTTACCATTTACAATTACTGCTTTTTCATGTCCATTTCATTTCAACTAGAAGAGCTTAAAGCACTTGAGAACTCTAAAAAGAGTCTCTAACTATGCAATTAGAAATAAATTTTTATTCTTAATAGCATACCACCCACAGCTGGAGAACATCTCTTCCTTCCATACCTAGAGTACAAGCCCATATCTTACTCCTGAAAGATCTTCTTAAATATCTGTTTAACCACAGTATCAAAACATTGCAATTAAGGTAAGAAAGAGATCATATGCAAGTTTAACATCAACTTTTTTCTACTTTAGAAAAGCAGGAACACACAAAAAATCTGCAACCAAGCTTTACTCCTACACAAGTTAAGAATTTGCTATTCACTTAGTGAAACAATGCTGTGATTACCTCTGAACTGAAACACACAGATACAGCAAGGAGATATTTTACTTTTACCTGTTTATTCTCTGAACTTCACGCATATATTCACTGACAAACTATAACTAATGCTAGGCTAGATGATCTTCATCTAACCACCCAAACAAAACTTCAGCTGAAACAGCATACGGTTATCTTCTAAATGTGCATTATTTTCTAAAAGATTAATAACACAGATTGCTAATAAAGCAACAAAAGCAGTTCTGCATTAATTTATACTTCCTGAAGATGTAGTCAGATAATGGCCATTAGCAGTTCAGTTATCATCCACAAAGAAAGAGGAAATATGATGGAACAGCAAGTAAAAGGGGAATATGATGGAACAACTTAATTACTAATATCAGATTTTCATGGTCACTCTTGCCAGCTCTGCCTCATGCATCAAAAATGGCAAAAGTGACCTTTGTGGAGGCAGTTGGAACTAGGCTAAGATCCTAATAAAAAGGGAAACATGAGGTCCAAAACTGGAAGAAAAAGAAAAAAAAATGCAGTAAGGCAGGAAGAGAAGAAGAACAAGAACAAACCATAACAATCTGGGAGAGAGTTATTCTGCACTTTCAATCCCAGTATAATTTTAAAACCTATTTTTAAGTCTAGCAAGACCTATGCCACACTGCAACTGAGAGGCATCACTTCTATTTCTTCCAGAACTTCTGACCTTCATAACCACAATTCTGCATTATTTCTACAAAAATTACAAGTGTTATCTGCGAAGATCCTATTGTAATGTCATAAGTAATAATTAGTAAAGACACTTAAATTAAACCCACTGAATTAGACAGCACTGACTGATGACAATGCTGCAAAATGTACACATCTCACCCCATCCTGCCCCAGGCATTGCTAGAACAATTCACATGTGAGGCAACATATATAAAATACAAATATTTGTGGATTTTATTTTTCAAATGCAATGTTTATGATGCTTTTTTTTGCCAGTTTATTTTCTTCTCCCCTCACTATTATTGTCTTCCTTTCAAACATTTGTCTTAGTATGTCACAGAAGTGGGGAACAGGGTCAGCTAATTACACCAGCACTTTTCTTATTCTTTAGTCCTTTTCTTTGCACCCGAGTTGATTAAATCTCAACTCAAAATGTGAAGTACTGAGATCTAGAACACCTGCCGACTCATCCTACTGCTCATATATCTCACAGGGCAAAAATGTCCGTGCAGTTCTCCAGTACTATAACTGTGGGATAATATTCAGCAGCAAACACTTCTATTTTTGCATATATATGATCTGGTTTACAAGTCCGAGTCGGCAACCTGTCAAATTACCTATTGCAATTACCTGTCAAACACTTCTCCTCTCAGGATACTTGCAGGCTATAATCTTGAAACATACCATCGTTATTACTACTACTACTATTACTATTATTCCTGGTTTTGCCACATATTCTAGGCAGCTGCTGCACTGCACTCTTCTTGGCAGTCTTAAGTTCCTGTCAGCTCCACGACTTAACTTCAAAATAAAGTTATGCTAGCTCAGAAAATAAAATACATACATACAAATAGTTAAGGGACACAAAAAGGAAGAAATAGAGAAACACATTTATTAGTTCTTTCAGCAACAAATCAGCAACATTTCAGCATTTCTAGTAAACCTTAGATCAAAGTGCTCAAGAGAGGGCATGGACTTCTTTCACTGTATTTTCTTGTTCAGCAGAATGCCTTAGTTGCTCATGTATATTTAGTCATCCTGATTTATTTTTTCCTCCAAGGCAAGGAAATTTCCTAGGCAGAACTGATACAGAAGCAGGTTACGTGATTGTCAAGAACAAAAACCCGATCTCCTGATTCTCAGGTAACATGTTAGCCTAAAAATGTCCTTTGTGAATTCATATGATAGCAGCATTGCTCAAAAGCAGGCTGTGTGGTGCTAAAGAGGTGGAGTCAAGTGGAGCAACTTGCAAAGAACAAAAGCTTGCCATGAGAGCGTGCCTTCTCCAGGCAGCTTTCACGCTGCTTCTGGTGGAGCTTCTTCACTGTTTTTTTCATTTGTTTTCCTCTGCAGTCCAACTGAATTTACATGAAAGAGATTTACATGCATGTTTGTGTATTTCACTGGTTTTACCAGTATTTTGCTGATAAAATGTAGGCAAGGTTAGGAACATAATTTTAAAAGCGGTAGTGAAATTGCCTGGGAAATGCATCTTTCATGAGCAATCCCACACATCTTCCATGTCTAGTTTTAAGAGGGCAACAG